CCCGGGCCCAGGTGGGTGAGGGACCCCCCCCTTACTCCCAACTCCAGCGCCCAGCAAACCGTCTGGTACCCCCGGTAATGGTACAGGAGTGGCCTGACCAGTCGTCGCTGGTGCATTTGGGGGAGGAGGGCGAGTCGTGAGGGATGGACAAAGGCGTTTTGGGTTCTGCTATCCAAGTTCATTTTGGCCCTGTCACCACTAGGCAAAGAAACCTTAAGTCCTACCTAATACACTGCGGGGACCAATTATTACTGCCCCTTTCGCTCAGAAGACGGATGCGGCAGCTGTTTGATTTTGGACAGAATTTGGGGAGATTACGTGGAAAGGGACTCGCCCCAAGATGTGTGCAATATCCATAAGCTGCTCATCCTTTATACCGGTTACCTAGACATTATTCCCGAATTCGATCTTGTCTCCTCATTTACGGCAAGAGAACAGGTTTCACTCCTAGTCTGCCCACTAAGCAATCCTCTGCAACCTAAAATTCATCCTCAAGGGCCCACAATGCTCCCCAAAAGATACGTTTTAAAAAACTGAGGTTTGGGGCTCCTGGGTGGCTCGGTTCTTAAGCCTCTGCCATCGGCTCAGATCATGATCCCAGGGTCCTAGGATCTCCTGCTCTCCCTGCTTGTGTTCCCTCTCACTGTGTCTTCTTCTCTCAAATAAGTAAAATCTTAAAACAAACAAAACTGAGCAAGTTCCTAATGGAGAAGGCAAAAACATCTGTAAACCATAATGACATTATACCTCCATATCTGGGGAGGCAAGGACTTTCAGAAGGCTTTGATAACAAACCCAACAGAACCCAAAATGAATTTTCCATCAGGCTTTAAGGAAACCACCAGCCATCGAAACCCCATTCCTAAAATCTAGCTTCAGGCTAAGTGAAAAAGAAGAAGGGTTTGATTACTCTTTGGTCCCCTAAGAGTAAGTAGGGGAAACGTCCGTCACTGTAGGAAGAAGCAGTTAACACCAAGATTGTGTTAAAACAAGTTGAGGCGCCTGGGTGGCTCAGCGGGTTAAGCCTCTGCCTTCGGCTTGGGTCATGATCCCGGGGTCCTGGGATTGAGCCCCACATCGGGCTCTCTGCTCAGCAGGGAATCTGCTTCCCCCTCTCTCTGCCTGCTTGTGATCTCTCTCTGCCAAATAAATAAATCTTTAAAAATCTGTTTTTAAAATCAAGTGATGACAGGGCACCTAACACTTTATCTGTGGGGGGGGGGGGGCAGGAGAGGGTTGTAAGGAGGCAAAACATCCTAGCTGAGAAGACTCAGAAAACATTTGGTTCCCATGGGTGGCAGGCACTCCCTCTAGCCTGTCCTTCAGCTTAGTCCTCATGGGCTCATGTAACAGGCCCTGGTGCTGACTACTCCTTAAGATCACCTGACTCCCGGTACACACCAGACTCCCATTCAATTCAAACTCAATTCCACATACACCACTGAAAAGACTGGATGGAGGGGCAGAGTGAAAGTCTCACCCAAGACAAAACAAAGATGGGAACCAATTAAGTAACACAGGAGGAAACAACTGGAAAACCCAGAATGTGGAACATTCTCTAAGACCACCTCTTGCAGGGGTGCCTGGGTGGCTCAGTGGGTTAAAGCCTCTGCCTTCGGCTCAGGTCATGATCCCACGGTCCTGGGATCAAGCCCCACATCGGGCTCTCTGCTCTGCAGGGAGCCTGCTTCCTCCTCTCTCTCTGCCTGCCTCTGTGCCTACTTGTGATCTCTGTCAAATAAATAAATAAAATCTTTAAAAAAAAAAAAAAAAAGACCACCTCTTGCAGCTGTTGGTAGAGTGGGCACTCCTGATCCCAGAGTTGTAAATTCAAGCCCCATACTGGGTGTAGAGATTACCTAAAAATAAACTCTTAAAAAAAAAAAGAAAAAAGCGACGTCTTACAGATGCCTGGTTTCTTGAAAAATCGTCATTTGGTTATCACTGAATCATTCTTTTCAGCTTTTCTGTTTGAAGTTTCTTGAAATAGAATGTTGGGGGTGAAATGCCCCCCACCCACCACCACCTTGCTATGCTTTCAACAGGGTTAAATCTAATTCAAGAAGTACTTTCCTAGGATCACCAAATTTCAATTAAGCATGTTTAGACTCACAAGGCAAAACCTTTTATGGACCAAAGTTCACTTATTGCTCAAAAGCAGCAGAAATCCATCTCAAAGCCAGTCGAGTCTACTCTCTCCAACTGAGCCAGATAAAGAACAGAGAAAAGTTGTTACCTCTGAGAAGGGGAAGTGGGCGGCTGGAAAACAGGTATGGGAGAATGAATTACCGACAAACCAGGGGTCGCCACACTACTGGCCAGATGGCAAACACTTCTAAGTTCCGTGGGGGAACATACTGTCCCTTTGCACTTTCTTTCCCTTCACAACCCTTTCAAAGTGCAGAAAACATTCTTAGCTTGAAGGCAGTACAAAAACCTGTTTTCGAATGCACTTCCGTATTTCTCATGCGTCTGCACTACCTACTGAAATATAAACCAAAAAAATCCTTTCATGGTCCCCAAATTCCTGACTTTCCTCGTCCCCAGGGGGATCAACTGAATGCCATCTTAGAGCAGTACTTACATTGGGAAATCTTAACCCATTGGTCTTGCCACATGTGGAGAAAGCATGAACATGGAGATACCAAAAAAGCTGAGCTGGTACTAACGACTCTCGGCCCACCCCCTACCAACCACGGGTATCTGGTTAATTAGAGCTTGTGGCCATTCGGATTCAACCATCTCTCCTGATCCGTATCAGAACTGGAAAACTCAAACCGGCAGGCTACTTGGCAAGCTGGTGGACCACATTTCAATGTCCTGATGAGGCTGGGTTACCACTTAATGTCACTCCTAGAACCAGAGAAGCGTTACCCAGCTAGTTTTCAGCAGGTTTTTCCTCCAAGCTTGCTTTGACAACTGTACACCCCAGAGGCGGTAGCTGCCATTCTTAGCTACTTAGATCAGCCCGTGGGAGTCAACAGGCAGTCTCAGCTGACCAGCAGAGAGGCCAATGCATGTGGTAATTACACATAAATAGAGTGGAGGGAAACTACTGGCATCAAACAACAACTGATTTGCTACACTGAAAGCCCCCCGCCACTGAACCTCAGCGGACAGCCCTTCCACCCCACCCTCTCGTTCTTGGAATGGGGAATTCTGATCCTTTATTCTGCTCTCCTTCCCCCGTCCCCCACTGTGTAACTGCTTTCCGCTACCTGTTAGCTTTATGTTCTGGTGTACGCTGAGGAGACCCACAATCACCGGTGCCTAACATGGGGCACTGTGCAGTTTCTGAATTAGAACTTTAACTCTTTGAGGCTACCCATGTCCGACTACTTATCCTTGTGATGTCAGGTTTTTTTCTTTCCAAATAGTTCAGCTCAAAAAACGTTGTAAAGGATGGAGTGCAACTGTGGGTACACCAAGTCTGGCTGACCTCTAGCAAGAGATCAGCAGTACTGTAAACCAATACTCCTCTTTCCTTTTTTGGGGAGGGGCAGAGGGAGAGAGAGTTGTAGGCAGGCTCCATGCCCACTGTGGAGCCTGATGCGGGGCTCACAGCCCTGAGCCGAAATCCAGAACTGGGACGTTTAACATACTGAGCCACCCAGGCACCCCAAAACTGTTACTTATGGCAACATGCAATGGGTTTCTACTATTTTTAAACAAATGAGTATTTTTAATTTCTGGTTTTTTATACCCCCCCCCAATAGGCAAAATCTCTTAAGAGTTTGTAAAGGGGTCCTATAAAGTTTAAGAACCACTGCATGAAGGGGAACTATTCCAACTGGATAGAAATGCACCAACGGAGCATTTTGTCCTAAGACAAATTTAAGTGTATGTGGAAGTACTCTGGGCAATTTCTGACCTGTCAAATTCCAGACACTCATAAAAAGGGAAGATAAGGTGGAAACAGGAGTGTTAGCAGCAGTGAACTTCCAGGAGCCACCCTTCTTCCTGCCGAGCTTTGCTGAGCCAGTGATGGGACGGCTCTGGTGTGGCCCGCCTGGGTACTGTCCCGCTGGTAAGATGTCGTCTGATCATCTCTCTACCCTCAGTAACTCCCACACTGAATGAGCTGCCACCGCGTGCTGAATGGTGACCGCCACTCATGGGCTGAGCAGAAGCAGCCTGGTGTTTGTAGGCAAGGCTCAGGAGGGCCCGGGACTAGGGCTCGGACGTCGTAAGAACTTAGGCACATCCGCCACTTCTCTATCCGCAGCTGTGCCCATGGTGGCACTCAGGGTGGTTCTGAGTGACAAAGGAGCCACACAGGTGAATTCTGATGACCCCCAAAATTAAAAAGCTACCCTCTTTCAAATACCCGCACCCCTTTGCTGGAGCACACCCAAGCTGATGGAGGAAAGCCTTCGCCTTGGCATTTTTCCTCCCTATAGACAAATATCCCTCCCCACAGTGATCGAGGCAGAACACCCCCACACCCAGGGACGGGATTCATGCGGTGGGCGCATTCTGACAGCTGCCACCAGCAACAGCAACGCTCCTGAGAGCTCAGGCCTCACCAACTGAGGCTGCCAACCACCTCGGAGGCACTAGACCTAAGACCATTTATTTATGAACATTTTCAACGCAGAGAACCACCTCAGCTAAGACTTAATGAGATCTCCAACAATCCCGGGCGCCTCCCCGAGAGACTCCACCAGGCACGTGACCCAGTTTCCATTTAGACCCACACCCCAAAGCTCAGAAGTTTCAGAATTTGCCCAAGACCGAAAGGAGCCATAATTCAAACTCGGGTCTGTGCTTCTCACAAATCACACCCCCAGATAGGCCTTTAGAGATCTACCTGCACGTGCTCATTCTGCAGGAGAAACACCGGAGGCCCAAAAGGTGCAATGATTTTTCAAGGTCCGTAAACCCGGGTCTGACTCCCAGCTCTAGGTACTTCCCAAGACAGTGTTGTCCCTTGCCCCCAGCCCCATCAACCCTTGGAAAGCAAAGGGAAATTAAAGTCATTTAAATAAAACTAATGGCACTGACATCAGATCTGTAAGTTTATTTGCTCAATGTACGACAGCTACATAATGACTCACATTCATGATATTCCATCACTGAGGAAAACTGCTAAGAATGGTCCGTGTGTGAAATAATTCCTTAGAGAAACACGGAGTTGGAAAAATAATCACTGATTAGACCTTAAAAATAGTTCACTGCATAACATGACAAAAAGCACAAAGGCTCATTCAGAGAACATAGTCATTGTTCTCCTACACTGTAATAGTTATAATTTCACCATGACAAACACCAGACATTAAGATTAAGCTAACACTGGTGTTTCTTTTGCTCCCCCCCCTTAAAAACAAAATATATAACTGCATGTCACTATAGCAACATCCAAAACAGATCAATTTGTTACGATCACTATTTGGTAGAGCAAACTGTACCCCCAAAGGAAAAATTAAATTAAAAAAACTTTAAAAAATTTGAAGACTTAATTTTTTTTTGTCATAGGAATACATAACACCTACAGTATAAGTTAATAAATTTCAAGCTACTGTATAGAAATACAACACTAGCATGCACAATATTGTATCAATAGAGTAATGGAGGAGTAATCATTTCACTGGAGAGACAGTATCAGAGGCAAGTGCATTTCTTTAAAAATAAAGAAAAGAAAAGAAACCATTCAAGCTGCTTAAATATCAAGTCTCCCGTTCCCTCTTCATTTTTAGCCCTCAGGTAGAACTGTTATCTTGCATTATTCTAAAAAGCAGCCAGAGCCAAAGCTGAAATTTGAAAGAAAAAATAGGTTTTGTAATTCCAGTAAATCATTTTCAAAGGCTACAAGGAAGGACAAAACACTGCTCACTGGACATGAAGATAAGTTAAAAGCCCCACCTACCCCCCCCCCCCAACCCCCCATCATTTCCCATCCATGGCATTGACTCTAGGGCCCCGGTGTCGGCACAAAAGCTGTACAACTCTCTTCTAGTTCCGCTAGGGTTCAGTTAATTGGGACTTTTGCTCTAGCGTATGGAGGGAACCTTCTAAGGAAAGTCACGCTGGGTAAACTGTGCCATGCTACAGGGCATCACTGTTCTAGTCCTCACTGTCACCTGGATCCTGTCACACATACTCATTTCCCAACTCTAAGTCCAATTTTGGTAAACAGCAAAAAGCAACGGTCAGTGTTTCCTCAATTATTCCTCATACCTCTCCTTGACTAAACCAAAGCAACAAACAAAGCGAGTCTGGCGTTATTACCTCCATCTCAGGAGTTCACACCGTTTCTGGTCTTGTAAAGAAAGGCTGAACACACACTCGACAGGTCACGTTTTTCAGACAGATTTTTCCAAAATAAGAATGAAGGACCTAAGGCTAACTGAGAACAGATTTGTGGAAACAGCAATGTAGTTTCCTTCGATTCCAGAGCATGTGTCAACTGTACAAGAGAGAAAGGACTCTCCCGCTTCGATGTTTTCATTAAGAAGAAAAAAGAAATATGTAGAAAAAGTCTTGGTCAAATAGGAGTGATTTATTATCTGATAATGCCTTTAATTCATCTTCCTACAACAACTGCTTAGGGAAGGAGTGTTTTCGGGGAGGAAAAACGGACATGCTTACGAGGCTCCCGAAATTGGACAGAGTGCTTACGAACAGAAGAGCTCTTCTCTTGCTTTTGGGTTTTTCTACCAGTAAGCTTCTAGCACCTGAATTTCCACACACTGCACCACAACCTTCCTCAAGATGACTGCCCAGCTTCTCCAGCTCAACGGCGTCTCCACCGTCCCGAGAGCCACCAGCAGAAGGTCCAGCGGGGAACACTCAAGAGTGATGGCAGCGTGATCCCTGAGGAAGGAGCGTGGCAGCTTAAAAATCAGGAGTTCTCTGAAAATATCAACACAATAAATGACATACAGACCTGAATTTTCTCTATTTTTGTGGTGTTTAACGATTCTATTAAAGTGATTCATCATTTTTGCGGTGGATTTGAGTTAAGAGGAAGAAGGGCACAAATCCCACAGCCACCTGCCAAGCACCTAATAACCAAAACCTAAAAGGAGCTGCGATTCCCCTCAGGCAAGCCTTGTGGCCTGGGAGACAGCGAACAGCAAAAACCCAACCGAACAGCAAAACCCAACCCGGATAAGGCTGACTACGGATGTAAAGCCAAAGTAAACCAGCAAAGGAAAATACACAATCCATGGCTTGATGTTACGTATGGCTGTCATGTAGAAATACTGTAAACTGCAATTTAGTGTTAATACTGTCAGCTAATCTGAGACTCAGGAAACTGGCCAGGCCTAAACCATAAGGATAAACATGCCTTATGTTCCAAGCCTGTCCACTCGGGATTTACCCTAGTCCACGGCTGGTCAAGTACACCCTGAAAAGAAACGCACAGCTAAAGCAGATGAGACAAGAGTACCCAAAACGTAAGACAAGAGCGTATGTACATACAAATCCTTACTGGAACCACAGAACTCACTGAATGAGGGCCAATCCCGTTTCAGTTTTCTTTTCGTCTTAAAACCCTATTCTCTAGCAATAAGTTAGATTAAAGACAGACAGCTCCGCCCGCATTCCCATCTACAGAACAGCCCAGACGCCAGTGTGAGGCCGCCATTCCAATACGAGCACAGCTAGCCTGACTTTCCACTAGTGGTATTTTGGCAAAAATGTCAAAGAGGCGATCAAAGACAGGACAGGTCGTGGGCTTCTCCCTAGGAAGGTCATCCCTCCCTTTCCCTCCCCCACCCGACCCCCAGCTCATGGGAAAAAATAAAGACTGCAGTAGTAGCATCAGCGGGCGCTGCCAGTCCACCTGGGGGCCTTAATTGTTGCCTTCGCCGCCGTCGTCGTCTTGCTGATCGCTTGTCCAGAGCGTTAGGTTGTCGCGGAGGAGCTGCATGATGAGAGTGGAGTCCTTGTAGGAGTCCTCGTTGAGAGTGTCGAGCTCGGCGATGGCGTCATCAAAGGCGGTCTTGGCCAAGTGGCAGGCTTGCTCCGGGGCGTTCTGGATCTCGTAGTAGAAAACGGAGTAGTTAAGAGCCAGGCCTAATCTAATGGGGTGAGTGGGCTGCATGTGCTCCTTGCTGATCTCGTGGGCTTCGCTATAGGCCTTCTCAGAGGACTCCACGACGGTCGCCCTCTTCTCTCCAGTGGCGACTTCGGCCAGGTAGCGGTAATAGTCCCCTTTCATCTTCAGGTAAAACACTTTGCTCTCGTACTGGGTCTCACTGCAATTCTTGATCAGGTAGTTATCCAGCAGGCTCAGCACATCCTGACATACCGCCTCCAGCTCCTTCTCGATCTTCTCACGGTAAGCACGGACCATCTCTATCTTCTTCTCGTTGCCATCGGCGGATGTCTTCTGCTCAATGCTACTAATGACCCTCCAGGAAGAACGGCGTGCCCCGACTACATTCTTGTAGGCCACGGACAGGAGGTTTCTCTCTTCGTTGGACAGTGGCTCATTCAGCTCTGTCACCTAAGGGAAAGAGAGAATGAAGAGTAGTTATGGTCCAGATGATGTCCCTTGGGTTGATCTCATCTTTACGCCACTGAACACTAACAGATTCACCAGGTGACTAAAGTGATGGGACAGGAAGAACGGCGAGACTGTGCAGGTGCGCAGAAGGGGGACAGAGGCAGAATGAACGACAAAGAAGGCAAACACTGCAGCTGCATCAGTGGTGCCTGAACCCCTGCTTCCTCCCTAGAAAAGGATACATACTTTTCAAATAGATGTTTCGTTGAAGATCTATCAGGTTGAGCTCTCAGATGACCAAATTTTGATCTAAATCTTATAAGGTTAGTGCTCGCTTCGGCAGCACATATACTAATCTTGTAAGGTTAGTAATTCTCTCCTGGAACGTCACATACATGCCAATCCTGGGGATTTTAAGCACAGATGGCTATTACGTACCTCAACACTTTTTTAGGCAATCAGACTGACACTTTCCTTCTAACCATGTCCTGTCTACTCAGTTCCATCCCTTTTCAGTGAGAATATTCTGAAGTCAAGTTCAAGTTGCCTTTTGGGAAAGGAGGTGGCTTTTCTGCTCTTGGGTTAAGACGATATGAACTACACATCTCAGGAAGGGAAGTCACATGGGGGCACGGGACTGAGTCTGAACACAGAAATGGCAGCAAACGTGAGGACACACTTGTCGCACGCTGAATGCTATGAGCAATACAAAAGAGGAGAGGCAAGCAAGGTACTTCTAAGCTGGAGTGGCCAAGAGAAATTAATGCTTCTTTCAATATGGGCATTTCTAAGTTCCGATCTTTATCACCCCAACAAGTAATCACCCAGAGGAAACTAAAGCAACGACACGCCAATGCTCTGCATTTTTATGACTTCCAAACAACTGCCTGTAACAAAAAAATTAAACTGAGTCAATCACACCGCCTTCCCTTATGTCCCCTCATGCCTGTCGTATCAGAGCCATATACCACTGTCTACCACGTAAAACAGAAACTTTTTACAAGGAGGACAGAGCTCTAGTTTTTTATTCCTCATTGGAGAAGAGATTTTTATTTGTCTGGCTGTTGTGTCTAAACTGGGGTACTACGTCAGTGGCTAAGCCACAACACCAAGAATCCCAGTTCATTCGCTATTTCAGAGAGACTAGATACTTCTCTCGCCCGTCCTCTCCTACCTGTGGATCCAGTCATAACATTGTTAAGTGCAACAAAAACATCATACTTCTGCCCTTTGTTCTCCCCAGGCCCGGGAGACTTATACAAGTGTCAAGAACCAAGTTAATAGTTAATATTCACGTCCTCTATAATTCTTCCCCATCTCTCCTTCCACACTGTTAAGACTGGCCACTCTCTTGAACCCTCACTGATCCAGGTGTGCACCAACCACAGCATCTACATTACATTTGTATTAATTACAGGTGTTGGAGGGGGGCAGGCTGGGAGCAGAATCCAAAGCGAAATGCCAAAATTATTTTGGGAGCATTGGGATACCAAGAGACTTTTTTCTACGTGTGAATCATTCACATTTAGTATGTATGGCACTTCCATAAACCAAGAGGTGGGGAAGGTTATGCTTAGTGCAACTGGTTATGTAAATTAAATATTATCTCTCAAGAGATAATTAAATCAGAACACAAATCACAGCATGCTTACTAGTTTACTGCAAGCAATTCATTCTTTTTTTTAAGATTTTATTTATTTGACAGAGAGAGAGAGAGAGAGAGATCACAAGTAGTTGGAGAGGCAGGCAGAGAAGAGGAAGCAGCCACCCAGACGCCCCAGCAATTCATTCTTTGAAAGAATTAATCAAGCTTTGCTAATTCCCAAAATATCAAGCAAATGATATATACTCAAATATTTTTTTTAAAGATTTTATTTATTTATTTGGCAGAGATCACAAGTAGGCAGAGAGGCAAGCAGAGAGAGGGGAGGAAGCAGGCTCCCCGCTGAGCAGAGAGCCCGACGTGGGGCTTGATCCCAGGACCCTGGGATCATGACCTGAGCCGAAGGCAGAGGCTTTAACCCACTGAGCCACCCAGGCGCCCCATATACTCAAATATTTTTTAAAGAGATTTTATTTATTTGAGAGAGAGAACAAAAGTTCACACAAGTGGGGAGAGGGTCAGAGGGCCAAGCAGCCGCCACACTGAGCAGGGAGCCCTGACATGGGGCTCAATTCCAGGACCCTGGGATAACGACCTGAGCCAAAGGCAGACATTTAACCCACTGAGCCACCCAGGCACCCTATACTCAAAATATTTCTTATACTGGGACGTCTGGGTGGCTCAGTGGGTTAAAGCCTCCGCCTTTGGTTCCAGTCATGATCCCAGGGTCCTCAGATTGAGCCCCACTTCGGGCTCCCTGCTCAGCAGGGGAGCCTGCTCCCACCCCCCTGCCCCACACCTGCCTGTCTACTCGTGATCTCTGTCAAATAAATAAATAAAATCTTTAAAAAAATATATTTCTTATACCGATTAGCAGCTTCTCTTATGTTACCCTTTTACTATGCATTTTTGATTCTCCCATTATACTAAAGAACAAGACCTCTACCAGACATGGCTCTCTTGTGACAGTAGAGTTGGGAAGACAGGGTTTCTGTACTACTGGACTTGAGAGCAGAAGGAAACCAGGAAACCAGGACAGAGGTGCTTTCTGTTCTATGACCCCCTAACCCCATTCCCCTGTGGAGACACCACTTCTCTGGAATAAAGCAGCTTGTATCATCTTACATTCAATTCTTTTTTTTTTCCTCCCACATCCAATTCTTTACATACTCTAGGCTTTGGAGACCCTCTGCTCAACCCACAGATCACTTTTTTTTTTTTTTTTTAAGATTTTTATTTATTTATTTGACAGACAGAGATCTCAAGTAGGCAGAGAGGCAGGCATAGAAAGAGGGGGAAGCAGGCTCCCTGCCGAACAGAGAGCCCAATGCAGGGCTCAATCCCAGGACCCTGAGATCATGACCTGAGCCGAAGGCAGAGGCTTAACCCACGGAGCCACCCAGGCGCCCCCACAGATCACTCTGTCACTCCTGCTGATTTCTGATGTGTATTCAGCTAACCCGGAAGACCCGTCTTCCCAGTCCCACCAATCCCACCGTACTAAGTGACCTTGAGGGCAAACATTTCATCTCTAGGCCTCGATTTTCCTCTCTGTTAAACTTAGATTTCTGCCTTTTCCATAAAGTTAGTTTAAGAGTGCATTAGATAAACGATAAAGTGCTCTTGACTTAGTAAAGTGACAGAGACGTGAGCAATTACTTTTGAGAATACCTTGGATAATTTTCCATCTTAATTCTCAGCCTAAGAAGCCTCTAAATTTCTTACATAACCATCTGCCAGCTTATATCCCTGTATCAAGTATCTCATCTCCATTTCATCCTGTTTTCTAAGTTGAAATTTCCTTAGCTCACATCACTTCCTTTCCATAAACTTTAGTGTCATATAGCCTGAAAACACTCCCCTGACTGGCTTTCAAACAAGCTGAGGCCTTTGTAAGCCTCAGGTACATACCACAGGACTCAGGCCTATACTCACTGAATACCAAAGGCCTGCCGCCACTAGTGCAACCCGATCACGATCTCCAATGCAAAGAGAAGCCAGAGTACCTAAGGCCATTGAGTTCTAGCCTTTCCCCTAAATCATGCTGTCCTTATTTCCAGAGCCAGCAACTATTTAAAGCTCACATGACCTCACCAGTACCCTATACTGCTGGGTCTCCTCCTGCTGCAAATGAAGTTATGGCTACAGAGCCCAAAGGCAGCACTGTGTGCTTCTGTAAAGTCTGCACAGCTGCCTGAGACCAAGAGAAACGTGGAGATTAGAAAATGGCAGTGTCACCTTTAGATCCAGTAGACTCAACCACATTTGGAACACACCCAGATGTGCTCTGCCACTAAAAAACTAAGTTAGAGGGAAAAACCTTTAACTCTTAAAGTCTGCTCAAAGTTTCTCTAAAAACCTTAAATCTGAATTTCAAAAAATCCTTAAGATCTAAAGAACTTGTGTGACAATGAATCTGTGATTTTTACACTGAAATAGAGATCCTGGGCGCCTGGGTGGTTCAATGGGTTGAAGCCTCTGCCTTTGGCTCAGGTCATGATCTCAGGGTCCTAGGATCGAGATCTGTGCCGGGCTCTCTGCTCAGTGGGGAACCTGCTTTCCCCTCTGTCTCTGCCTGCCTCTCTGCCTACTTGTGGTCTCTGTCAAATAAATAAATAAAAATCTTAAAAAAAAAAAAAAAAAAGAAAGAAAGAGAGATCCCAACCACACTAGTTTTAAAAGTTAAAAGATGGGGTGTCTGTGAGGTTCAGGTCATGATCTCCCCAAGTGCTGAGATGGAACCCCTTATCAGGCTTGCAGCTCCATGGGGAATCTGCCATTCCCCTTCCCCTGCTTATGCTCTTCCCTTTCAAATGAATAAAATTTTTAAATATAGTCAAAAAATAACTTTTTAAAAGGAAAAAAATTATGTTCATAGTGTCCAAGAAAAGGCTTAACAGACAGAATAAGAATTCAATGTGGGAAGATGAGAGATACGTTTCATCTGGGAAGGGAGATAATTATTTTTCCAAATAGTCACTGAATTATTTCTAAGAACACAACACTTGTAAATATGTTCCCTAAAATACACTGTCACCGCTGTTGTAAAATGTAGAAAGTCTGTATCCTCTGGCATGTCACATGTTCCGCTTAAAAACAAAATTAAGGTTTCTCTCTTCTCAAGGACTAGGATACTACCCCACGTTCAGATTTCTTTTAGCGAGTTAAAGATAAACAGATGAGTAAAAAGACCCCAAAAGTCTGTTATTCTCAGACAGAGTCAGACAGTTTACGATCTGGAACTCCCCAAATCCACCGCTAAGGAATCAGATACTAATTAGCACCAAATGTTCTCCCCTAAGAGTTGATGCAGAGACTTCAACGGAAGATTAGCAACCCCCTGAGAAACTTGGAAAGCTGTTCAGATGACTTTCTGACCCCAACATTTAGAGCACCC